ACACACACACAAACACACACACTACTTAAGCTGTGCGTTTATCTGAAAACTGGTCACTGGTTTAAAGGAGTGAAGAACTTACCGAAACACTTGCTCTGATTGGTGGCTCGGTCCACAAACACTTTGGCTGAGATGACGTTCCCGAAGGGCAGAAACATCTGCATGAGCTCCGCATCCCCAAACTCCTGCGGCAGGTGATAGATGAACAGATTACAGCCCTCCGGTCCTGCACACACACACACACACACACACACACAGACACAGATGAGCATAGACACACACTCAGGCAGATGAAAAGACACACACACACACACACACACACACACACACACACACACAAGCATGCAGATGAGAAGACACACACAAACACATACACAAACATAGAGAGAGATGCAGATGACAATACACACACACACACACAGATCGGAACACACACATAGATGCAGATGGGAACACACACACACATAAATACAAAGACACAGATGCAGATGACAACACACACAGACGCAAAACACACACACACATAAATACAGAGAGAGATGCAGATGACAATACACACACACACACACACACACACACACACACACACAGACACACAGACACACACACAGATGTAGATGAGAACACACTAGTATCGAACATGTGTGCCTGTTGAGGATGATGAGGATGATGATGATGATGATGCTTTAACTGGATGAAGCTCTGCTGAGCAGTATTTGACTGGTATGAATATGTATGAGCTAATTATGCGGAGTGGGCGGAGTCACACTCACCTTCCCTCTGCTGCTGGGGAATGATTGGCGGCTGCTGGGCAAAGGCTTGGCTGATTGGTGCATATGCAGTAGGATAGGCTGCTGTGGGCAGAGTTTCACATAAGTATTATCATCCCTACAGCACTCATACATGACATCTGACACACTCCTCTTCTTTCATAATGTTCATTCAACAAGGCTCATATAACACACACTACTACTCTTGATGCATGAGCTGTAGGTTATTATTATTATTATTATTATTATTATTATTATTATTATGATTATTATTAAACTGAAGTTACTGAAAAAAATATATAAAATAAAACAAAACTAAATAAAAAAATTAAAAATTAAATTAAATATAAAATATAAATTATGAATGATGAATAATAAAATAAAAAAACAAAATAAACAAAAAAATAAAACAAAACAAAATAAAAATATATAAAATATATATATTTTTTAATTAAATAAGAATAAAATAAAAAACAAAACAAAATAAATCTTAACTTAATTGAAACTAAATAAAATTAATAATTACATTAAATTAAAAGAAAGTTACATTTAAAAATATATAATTAAATAAAATTAAATACAAATTGAATAAAATAAAAAAATTAATTAAAAAATAATAAAATAAAATAAAATAAAATAAATTTAAATAAAATAAAATGTAATAAAATTAAATTAAAAATGAGCTAAATTAAACAGACATATAGCTCGTGAAAAATCTAATACCAATTGAAAAGAACAGATCAAATTTTTTACCAAAAAAATAACAAAATGTAAATATAAGCAGATGAGAAATGTAAAGTAAACAAATATTTTAAATATGTAAACAAACTTTTCAGCTGTGAAGGAGAATCACCTGCATAGTGCTGCACACCTGCATACGCCTGCTGTAAAGGATCTGCCACTGTCGGGCTCTGTGCTGCACACACACACACACACACACGCACGCACGCACGCACGCACACACGCACGCACACACACACAAAAACACATGCACATAAGCACATGCACATAAACACACATATATGCGAGCATACATGCATGCACACAAACACATGAATGCACACACACGTGAACAAAGACACACACACAAACACACAAACACACACACACACACACACACACACACACACACACACACACAAACAAATATGCATGTACACACATGCACAAACATGCATACATACACAAAAACACACACACATGCACGCAGAACACAAACACACACAAAAATACAAACACATACACGCATGCGCACACACACAGAGACAAACACACAGACATGTACACACATAAAGAAAACACACACCCCTCAGTTAGCACAAGAGTAGCACTCTTCTGTTTGCTGGTTATATTTAATAATGTGTAACGTGTGTGTGTGTGTGTGTGTGTGTTTGTGTGTGTGTGTGTGTATGTGTGTGTGTGTGTGTGTGTGCATGTGCGTGCGTGCACCTGGATAGGGGTGTATGCCGTTGGTGTAGAGTGTTTCAGACGCCGGCTGGCCGTTGCTCTGAGCAGCGAGAGCGCTGAAGCCGTTCACACCCATAGAGGAGAGACCACTGCCACTGATACCTGGAGGAGTGCTGCTGCCTAAACACGCACACACACAGACAAACACACAGACACGCGCACACAATAAGACAGACATGTACGCACACAAACACACAAGAGAGGGAAAGCGTGTCAGTGATCATGTGTGTGTGAAAAAGAAAAAGAAGTGCGTGAGTGTGTGTGTACTATAATAAAACTAAATAGGCCTGTATAGTATGAGTGTGTATGTGTGTGGGTGTATGGGTGTTTCCCAGCACTGGGTTGCAGCAGGAAGGGCATCCACTGTGTAAAACATATGCTGGAATAGTTGGTGGTTCATTCCGCTGTGGCGACCCCTGATAAATAAGGGATTAAGCTGAAGCAAAATGAATGAATGAAGGTCTTGATGAGGTTGGTGAGCACCTGAAGACGGGGTCATGGGCGCAGCCAGCAGGCCGTTGAGGTTAAAAGCTGCGATCTGCTGCATCTGTGCGGCGGCGAGAGCAGCCATGGGGTTCAGATACGAGCTCTGCGTCGCTGCCATGAGCGCCGCTTGCTGCTGCTGCTGCTGTATCATCTGCTGCACACACACACACACACACACACACACACACAAACACACACACACACACACACACACACACACACACAAAGCACTGATTCATTTCTACACTTCTGTTGCCTAAAGAGCTCGTATCATAAGTCCACTCTTTGAGATCTCAAAACTTCTGAGCTGGGCATCACAATGGCTCAATGGTTACCTCATAGCAAGAAGGTCCCTGGTTCAAGTATAGGGGAATTGGATGAACTGAATTGGTCTGATTTTAGACTTTTTGACATGCAGGCAGCAGAGAGTCTGTTGAATGGAGTGCTTTCAGACATGCTTTTACATCAGTAGGATCTCCACAGGGTTGCGTACTGTCCTCAACTCTTTTTATATTATATACAAACGAATGTCGCAGCACTGAGGACAACAGCCATATAGTCAAATATGCTGATGACACAGTTTTTATCCTTATTAACAAATATAGATTGTAAGGACAGCGATAATCATGAGTGAAGGTTATTTATGAACTAATTTGGAGAGGATCACGTGCTTATGATTGTTTGCAGCTGGTCCCGCATTATCTAATTTATGATTGACCAATCAGACGATTCCGAAGTCACTATAAACACCGTCAGCTCCATATCACAGCCATCTTCATTTTGAAGAATCCTCCCTTCCACCCCTACTCCTCCTCCTTTCCTAGATGGGCGGCACGGTGGCCCAGTGGTTAGCACTGTTGCCTGACAACAAGAACGTCACTGGTTCTAGTCTTTACCAAGCCTGCCGACGTTTCTGTGGGGAGTTTACACATTCTCCCCGTGCTCATGTTGGTTTCCCCCAGGTTCCCCGTTTTTTTCCCACCGTCCAAAAACATGCAGCTTAAGTTAATTGACTAATCCAAATCAGCACCATAGACATGCTCCTAGTCAGTGGTTATCTCTTCTCTATCAATATCTGTTCATTACCTACTACAGCAGGGGAGTTCTCCAGATCTACCTGAGCTCAAACTCCCCTCTCGCCTTGCTAACAGAAGTTGTCTTTGTATTTGGGCTGTCGAATTTGCCTTTTGCAAAGAATTGAATCCAGAATAAGAAATGCTTTGATTAAATTTATATTGAATTCATGACAATTTATAAAAACTGTGGCTAAAAACTAAAATACTGTAAAAACAGACAAAAGTATTAAAATACTGTAAATATTAAACACATTTAAACCAATATACAGTCAAATCTATTGGGAGTATAAGACATAGCCATATTGACCTCCTCCATCCATGCTGGCACAGAACAACACAGACCTTCCACCATTTATATAAGGTTTGCAGACTGATTGCTAATTGAAGACTTGAGTGTAGGAGTTTCAAATCGCTGCTTCAGTAAATTCAAACTGATCTTGGTAGTGTCTAATGGTTAGGAATAGATGGTTTCTGTTTGGTGACCATAACTAAAACAATGGAGTTTGGACTGCTTGAATGATATCTGTGTTAACTGTTTGGAAAAATGGCAGGGAAAATGTGTCAACCCAATGAGAAAAGGTTTACAAATTTGCAAGACCTGTCTTCTGCTCTGCTGGGATAGTGAAAATGAAAATGAAGTGGAACCTAGTTTCTTTAACCAGGTCAAAGCAAACAAGAAAAACTGTAATCATTACACACTGGACAACAAAATACAAAATATAGAAGTCAGTGCAGCACCATTGCTTGTCAATGTAGCTTATTGTCAATGGCATTTGTTGTCTTTGTATTTGGGCTGTCAAATTTGCCTTTTGCAAAGAATTGAATCCAGAATAAGAAATGCTTTGATTAAATTTATATTGAATTCATGACAATTTTCAAACTGTGGCTGAAAACTGAAATACTGAAAAAGCAGACAAAAGTAATTAAATACTGTAAATATTAAACACATTTAAACCAATATACAGTCAAATCTATTGGGAGTATAAGACATAGCCATATTGACCTCCTCCATCCATGCTGGCACAGAACAACACAGACCTTCCACCATTTATATAAGGTTTGCTGGCTGATTGCTAATTGAAGATTTGTGTGAAGGAGTTTCAAATCGCTGCTTCAGTAAATTCAAACTGATCTTGGTAGTTTTTAATAGTTAGGAATAGATGGTTTCTGTTTGGTTACCATAACTAAAACAATGGAGTTTGGACTGCTTGAATGACATCTGTGTTAACTGTTTTGAAAAATGGTGAGGAAAATGTGTCAACCCAATGAGAAAAGGTTTACAAATTTGCAAGACCTGTCTTCTGCTCTGCTGGGATAGTGAAAATGAAAATGAAGTGGAACCTAGTTTATTTAACCAGGTCAAAGCAAACAAGAAAAACTGTAATCATTACACACTGGACAACAAAATACAAAATATAGAAGTCAGTGCACCACCATTGCTTGTCATTGTAGCTTATTGTCAATGCCATTTGTTGTCTTTGTATTTGGGCTGTCAAATTTGCCTTTTGCAAAGAATTGAATCCAGAATAAGAAATGCTTTGATTAAATTTATATTGAATTCATGACAATTTTCAAACTGTGGCTGAAAACTGAAATACTGAAAAAGCAGACAAAAGTAATTAAATACTGTAAATATTAAACACATTTAAACCAATATACAGTCAAATCTATTGGGAGTATAAGACATAGCCATATTGACCTCCTCCATCCATGCTGGCACAGAACAACACAGACCTTCCACCATTTATATAAGGTTTGCTGGCTGATTGCTAATTGAAGATTTGTGTGAAGGAGTTTCAAATCGCTGCTTCAGTAAATTCAAACTGATCTTGGTAGTTTTTAATAGTTAGGAATAGATGGTTTCTGTTTGGTTACCATAACTAAAACAATGGAGTTTGGACTGCTTGAATGACATCTGTGTTAACTGTTTTGAAAAATGGCAGGGAAAATGTGTCAACCCAATGAGAAAAGGTTTACAAATTTGCAAGACCGGTCCTCTGCTCTGCTGGGATAGTGAAAATGAAAATGAAGTGGAACCGTTTCTTTAACCAGGTCAAAGCAAACAAGAAAAACTGTAATCATTACACACTGGACAACAAAATACAAAATATAGAAGTCAGTGCAGCACCATTGCTTGTCATTGTAGCTTATTGTCAATGCCATTTGTTGTCTTTGTATTTGGGCTGTCAAATTTGCCTTTTGCAAAGAATTGAATCCAGAATAAGAAATGCTTTGATTACAGTTTTTCTCGATTGCTTGGATGCAGTTGTCAACTGAAACTCCACATTTTCAAAACAGTAAACACACACAGGCCTAAACTGCGGCACTCATGGTCAAAATGACACATTTTGCTTGAAAAAGGCACATATCATCTCAAAACATTTAACATATGCAACAAAAGCTAGTTTTACCTTCAAACAACACAACTTGCAAACAAGTATATGAGCTCTTTCAATTAATCATTACACAATGCACAACAAAATACAAAATACAGAACTCAAAATGCACCACCATTGCTTGCCATTGTAGCTTATAGCCAATGGCATTTGTTGTCTCTATTTGGGCTGTCAAATTCGCCTTTTTGCAAAGAATTGGATCAAGAATAAGATATGCTTTGATTGAATATATATTGAATTCATGACATTTTTCAAACTGTGGCTGAAAACCGAAATACTGTATATAAAAAAACAGACAAAAGTAATAAAATACTGTAAATATTAGAGAAAACACATGTAAACCATATACAGTCAAAACTATTGGGAGTATAGGACATAGCCATATTGACCTCCTCCATCCATGCTGGCACAGAACAACACAGACCTTCCACCATTTATATAAGGTTTGCAGACGATTGCTAATTGAAGATTTGTGTGAAGGAGTTTCAAATCGCTGCTTCAGTAAATTCAAACTGATCTTGGTAGTTTCTAATGGTTAGGAATAGATGGTTTCTGTTTGGTTACCATAACTAAAACAATGGAGTTTGGACTGCTTGAATGACATCTGTGTTAACTGTTTTGAAAAATGGTAAGGAAAATGTGTCAACCCAATGAGAAAAGGTTTACAAATTTGCAAGACCTGTCTTCTGCTCTGCTGGGATAGTGAAAATGAAAATGAAGTGGAACCTAGTTTCTTTAACCAGGTCAAAGCAAACAAGAAAAACTGTAATCATTACACACTGGACAACAAAACACAAAATATAGAAGTCAGTGCACCACCATTGCTTGTCATTGTAGCCTATTGCCAATGCAATTTGTTGTCTTTGTATTTGGGCTGTCAAATTTGCCTTTTGCAAAGAATTGAATCCAGAATAAGAAATGCTTTGATTAAATTTATATTGAATTCATGACAATTTTCAAACTGTGGCTGAAAACTGAAATACTGTAAAAGCAGACAAAAGTATTAAAATACTGTAAATATTAAATAAAACACATTTAAACCAATATAGAGTCAAATCTATAGGGAGTATAGGCCACTATTGACCTCCTCCATCCATGCTGGCACAGAACAACACAGACCTTCCAACGTTTTTAATGTTTGCTGGCTGATCGCTAATTGAAGATTTGTGTGAAGGAGTGTCAAACCGGTGCTTCAGTGAATTCATACTGATCTTGGTAGTTTCTAATGGTTAGGAATAGATGGTTTCTGTTTGGTTACCATAACTAAAACAATGGAGTTTGGACTGCTTGAATGACATCCGTGTTAACTGTTTGGAAAAATGGTAAGGAAAATGTGTCAACCCAATGAGAAAGAGTTTACACATTTGCAAGACCGATCTTCTGCTCTGCTGGGATAGTGAAAATGAAAATAAAGTGGAACCTAGTTTATTTAACCAGGTCAAAGCAAACAAGAAAAACTGTAATGGAAAACAAGTTGAAAAGGTGCAAGAATAAAAGTACTTTGGTACAAACTTTGATTCCACATTTAAGCTCCAGCAGAACTCAGAAGCTGTTGCTAAGAAAGTGCATCAGAAAATGTATGTTCTTAGGAAACTGAACTCTTTCTGTGTAGAAAAAAAATTATACCGAGAACTTTTTTCTTTTTTTTTTAGTTTATTTATAAACGATTTTCGAGAGGATCACGTGCTTATGATTGATCTGCATTATCCAATTCTCAATGCACTAATCAGACAATTCCAAAGCCATTATAAATACCCTCAGCTCCATATCACAGCCATCTTCGTTTTGAAGAATCCTCCCTTCCACCCCTACTCCTCCTCCTTTCCTAGATGGGTGGCACGGTGGCCCAGTGGTTAGCACTGTTTCCTCACAGCAAGAACGTCACTGGTTCTAGCCTTTACCAAAGCAGCCGATGTTTCTGTGTGGAGTTTACACGTTCTCCCCGTGCTCACGTGTATTTCCCCTGGTTTCCTCTTAAAAATATGCAACTTAAGATTATTGACTGATCCAAATCGCAACCATAGACATGCTCCTACCAAGTACTTTTCTCTTTTTAAAAAGCAATCACTATCTGCTCTTCAGCCACTATGACAGGGGAGTTCTCCAGATCTACCTGAGCTCAAACTCCCCTCTCGCCCTGCAAACAGGAGGGAGCCCCGGGCTCGAGGATCTTATTAGCTCAGGGCTCTCTCCCTGGACAGCATCCCAAACCGCTTTATAATCAATCATCAGCTAAGTGTCAACTCTTGAACTATATTGAGAGTATATTAAGCTTTTCCCTTTTATGCTGGTTCTGAAATCACCTTCAAAACTTTAGGGTGCTTTCGCACCTACTCTTTTGTTTGGGAACGTGTTTCGTTTGCCCAGTTAGCGCGGTTCGTTTGGCATATGTGAACAGGGCAATCACGCTCTGTTCCGCGCCAAAGTAATCGCTCCGAGATCACTTGAGTGAGGTGGTCTCGGCTCGATTGAAACGAACCCTGGAGCGGTTTGATTGCAGTGAGAAAGCGATCCGATCCGAGCGCGGTTATATCACAGTGTTTATGCATATGTAATAGGCATACGGCTATATGAAGAGAGAATTATGAGTAGGGCGGGAAGTTTCGCGAGTCTCCGGATGCCCGCAAACGAGTGATGATCTCCTGGTAATCTCACGTCTCCCTCCCGGTACTCAAATAGGCATCGTCGCGCACCCTTCTCACCCCTCCCCACCGCATCTCTCCTCAGACACGTCGCGCGCGCACCCTGTCAATCACCACCAAACCACCACCTCTCCTGACAGCTGAGCGGGACGCTGCAAAATAAACCCTGACACTCTGACCAATGTGAGGAGAGTTTACTCGCACGTGACTTGTTTTAGCTCTTTTGGACCGTTTAGAAACTTTGCAGTGTGAAAGCGAACCGCTCCAAGAGCAAAGAGCAACAATGTAACATTTGTAATCTCTGTTTCAGAACAACTGAATCCATTCACAGGTGTGAACGCACCCTTAGTCGAGACTTGCGCCAAGATTATCGGTTTACTTTTGCGGCGTCTAGCAGAGTTACATGAACAGCAAATGCCGAGGGAAACTCAAAGTGTGATAGGAGAGCTCCTGTTAATCAGCGCTGGTGTGTGTGAGACTCACAGCATGTGTGTATGCGCCGTACGCTCCAAACTGGACGCTCATTGGGCTGAAGATGCCGAGCTGACCCGCCATCTGATGCATCCGCCGCAGCGTTCGCTCCTTATCGGTGTCTGCAAACTTCACCACCAGACTGGACGACGCTCCCTGAACACACACACACACACACATAAACAGTTGCAGACACACACACACACACAGACGGAGACCGACAGGTCTGTGTAAAGTGTTTTCAGAGGCAGCAGGTGTTTCACTCTGCTCTAGAGTGGATCTGCAGGTTTTGATAAGCTCTGATCAAGGCTTTCGTCACACCGTCACTAAAATAATCTCATTTCAGGAGAGCATCAGGATGACATTCACACACACACACAGCCAGATTTACGTAAGGGGGAAACCTAAAATACTCACTGGAGAAATTTAACTGCACAGAATGAGCAAGAGCAAGGCTGCATTCCCTTTCTGAATGCATCGGTGTTTGACATAATCATTTGAGTCTGTGAATAATTCAGGAAATACAGCATTGCAGCCGGTTATACTGTGTTTTCTGACCCCCATTAACATTGAACTCATAAACAGTGTGTGTTCAGTGAAGTTTCCGAGACTCACAGGCATCGTCTGTCCTCCGTGAAGACTGTTGATCGCAGCCTGAGCTTCTGCATGACTGGAAAACTTGACAAACGCACAGCCTGTGGTGGGAGAAACACACAAACACTCACCTTAAACAGAAAAAGAGCAAGTGTTCACAACAAACCAAGACAAGGCTTGAAGATACTGTCTGCGTCTCAGTCAGCACTCTATATGCTTATTTCACGCGTTCGCCATTTAAAAAAAACAAAGCGAGGCTGCTGTGGGAAGAAACCCGGAAGTGTAGGACCAGCACTGTACACATTGCAGTAACATGCTGTGGACTACAAACCTCCAGCTGTTGCCGCGTTTTCAAAATGTAGAAATGGTGTAAACATCACTTTAATATCATTCAGTTCAGTTTAATCTAAACAATTAAAAGCAATTCAGCTTCAAACAACATCACAATCTCTTTAAGAGTAATATGCTCAAGTGTCCGCCTAGGCTTCAGTTCATGGCACAAGTTACTCCCCGTCAGCGTCAACGCTTCCCATTCACTTTGAATGGGTGACGTCAGGCGTTGCCGAACTGCATTGCGGATCCATCTGCGCCGCTTCAGAGGCGTTGCTCGCTGCAGAAGTTGGGACTAGCTCAACTTTTCAAGCGCCGACGGAAGCGTCAGCCAATCAGATTGCTGTATGTGTAACGGAGGCCAGCTAGTGAGTGCTGTGCAGTTAAAGCTCAGTCCTCTGACCTCTAAAGGTGC